ATTAATAATAGTTATACACCCCAAAGCCAATGAGAATAAGTAATTAGATCAATATTTATGGTTTTTTCATGGATTACATAAACAAATATTTTTCTTAATTATTATGTACATACATTTTTGAATTGTTAAAATCATTAACATTTTTCCATCCTATCTGGTGATTATCCAATTACAGAGAAAGTTATTTATAATCATTTCTAAAATTAAAATTTCCGATCTACCAAAATTTATACACAACTCTAAATCTGGTCGTTTAATTAATATCGATATACACACGCCAATGAATAAATATTTAGATCTTCAAAAAAAATATTGACATCATAAGTCCGGGTATTTTTTCATCCATGTATTTTTTAACTTAATGAAAGTAAACAAACTACACATGTATCGGTATTTAATGAACGATCATATCGATAAAATGTAAAGATCGCTTGTTGGGGGTGCTAACCCATAATACAAGTCACCTTGGATAGAACGACATTGACAGGGGACATTAAAAAAAGTTTTTTTAAAAGTGAGTTTACTATAACTATGTTTTCTTAATATTTTTCTATGATGTCATTGTATCTAGCGACGCTTGGTACAATATTATCTATTATAGACATTCGATTTTTCGAAAAGTCTAATCTTTAGGTTCAATAACAGCAAAGCAACCTTAATAATATTAATTGGATTCACACCTTAGATTCTAAAGTCATTGCCTTTTTGTTTTGTTTCTTTAGTCTTTTTCTGCTTGTTTCTGCTGTGGATATCCTCATACCCAAAATAATAAATATTCAAGTGATAATTAAAAATTTATCACAACATTAGTTATCGAAAAGATGATCCTGTAGCTAAAAGAGCACTTAATATTTTAAATTGTTCCAAATCGCTCTCAACCTCAAAAAATCCTGATTTCTTAAAAAGGGTTTAGTACTTTCCACTTTTGACGATAACGTAATCAGCTATAATCTTTTGACAAAATTCCTCATACTTTAATGGAAACAATTTAGAAAACTGGAAATGAAAAAATAATAATCCACGCAGACCCAGAAAATTTATTCTTGTACCATATCGTATGCAATACAGTGAAACCTTGATGTGTTATGGCGTTAAATATGTGCGACCAATGCGTTTGGGTATATCTTAATTCATTTGTACGCATAAGACTATCTGAAATTCTTTTCCAAAAGCGATTTATTTAATCTTTGAATCAGCGAAAGAAATCCAAGAGTTCTTTGGCTTACCAAAAATAAAAAAATAAAAAATAAAAAATAAAAAAAATATTGACAAGATCAAAAGATCTTTGTATGCAAAGTGAATCAACAAATAATAAACAATGATGACGATAGCAGAACCGACGTAAGTTTTTGTAAGAAAATTCTATTTTGATAAATCAATTTAAAGTGTTTCTTTGTTCTTTTTTTTGTTTGGATGTTGAATGGTGAATATGTTATTTATTGAAGTATATTATTAGCAAAAACGGATATCCTCTTTTCAGCATATAGAAAATATACTTGATTCGAAATTTCGTCTCGATATTTGACAAAAAATTCTTTACGAAAAAATAATAAAAATCGAGAATCGTTCATTCGATCATACGAAGCAAAATAAAAGTTTTGATTCTTTCTATCCTTTAATGAATCGGGAAAAATGATATCCTGAGAAATGAAATAATGGTTCTCAGATAATTTTCCGTTTGATCTAACTCATTTTTACTCAAAGAACATGATCTACAACAAATAGCCATTGTTCTTTTTTGGCTCTGATATAAAAGATCGGGCGCCCGATCTTGAAAATCATGCCGTGAACCGCGCGCAGCCTGTCTGCAATGAAAAAAAAAACGTGAGAATAATTGTGTGTTAATTGGATTGATTGCATCAAGTTGAAAAAAAAATTTTCACAACGTTGTCAATGAAATATTACTGCATGTACATGTATCTCTTAAGACGAAATCCGAAATTTCTTTCCAAATATAGATAGATTCCCCAAAGAAAAGACTACTACTCGCGCAAAATTACTCGACATGATAGCTATTGTTGTGTGGTCCGTGTCATTTGATAATCGACGTTTTGTAATACCATAACAATAGTAAAAGTCTTTTTTTTACGTTAAAGAACGCGTTTCATTTTATTAAACCTCGATCTAATAAAGAATGTTACCTAAAATCGTCAAATTATAATAAATGATTTTAAAGAATTTTCGTCATCATGTTTACCGAATGATTGGATCTAAAACGTCCAAGTAATTAGTACCGATCTGACAAGCGTAACATGAAAAGATGAGCATTGTTCTAATTCTTTGTTTTTCATTTTTAGAATTTTTTAGGCGAGAAACTATCATCATGTTTGATAAATTTTTCCCATTGTCTTGATATCGAGTCATAATAAAACAACCGTCATCGATTCATTAGGGGAGGAATAAGTAATTGGGGGGGGGGGGGGGGGAGAGAGAGAGTAAATGTATCGCTATGTCCCCTGATCGTCTCATTTGACTACTCAGCTGAAATCGTTACGCATTTTCCGAGATAACCTTAAACTTAGAATATTCCCAATGATTACATCATCTTTTTTTTTTCTAGGCGTGAATGCTGTATATGCACGTGTATATGTTTATGCGCGTTAAAGATCCAACTAACGGCCAAAAAAGAACAATGTAATGATATATCAATTAAGCCTAAACTAATTAAAATGTTCTCATGACTTTTTTTCCAAAACAATAACAAAGTGAATTTAAAATAAAGAATGAGACAAAAAGGTTTGAATTTTGATTTATGAAACACTTTTTGGTTGCTACTCAAACATATTCGCAATTATCCCTTAATCTCACAAAAAGATAAAACTAAAGAAACAGAACTACACGCATGCATCAAGTCATTTTTTAGGGAACCATCTGAATTTGTTTCCAATTATGCGAAAGATTTATTCGACAATGTCAGATTGTGTGCGTGATAATATTATATGATCAAGGGTTAATTTCAAATGTAACAAAAAGAGATATTGAAGGTAATCTATATATTTCAATCATGTTTTACCCTTTTCATTTCCATGGAAACTGAGCACAACAAAAGAATCGAAATTTATATTGTCCGTGAACGTCCAAATTTATTTTCCTATTATTGTCATCATCCCTATTATTATCATCTTCATTATTCTTATTAATCATTAAAGGCATCCAAGCATAAGGTTGTTTTGCACCTTAATGACTGTGGTAACACGTAAAAAATGTTGTGTCGGCTTTTGGAATTCTCAATACTGGAAGAAAAGAAGGAATTTTAGCAAATTTTCATGCTTCCAAGTCATTATCTTTCTATCCAGCCCCTAAATAACTAATATAATACCATGAAAATGATTATTGTTTGTTGTTGGATATACCGAAACACGGCATAAATTCTGGGTAGTACGATTTACTAGACAATGATATGCGAAATTTACATTGACAGTAAACTAGTTTAAAATCAAGATTATGTCGTAATTGATTACTATAACTAGTCGCCAATATAACGAGCTGGGTAACGGATCATTGATCATTGAGTGAAGTCTGTTTTTTTTTCAACGAGACAAGAGAAAAGTTTAAATTCTTGTTTCCATTATTAAGTAATGGCACTCATTCATCTTCTTTCTATTATGCAATAAACAAACAATCCAAATCATTATATAACTTTAATTAACGAATTTAACCTAAACTGATTGAGAAAATCTTTTTATATTATTTATCATTGATTTATAAAGTTTCTCGCTTAACTAAAAGAGAAGCCAGACGGCAATAAAAGAACGCAATTTACCCGGTATAGCAAAAGGATTTGATTGTTAGACCAAAAAACAACAATCATCTCTAAAATTCCAATATGCACATCAACCAAACGAATGGTTAACACGCATAGGCTCAATGCCAAATTGCGTTTTTTTTTTCAATGCTTATATAAAAACATTCCACATTTTTTCACTTGCCAACCTACATACACAAATAAATGATGAATGAAACAAAACAAACAGTCATGCAGCATTTCTCTAGTGGTAGTTAATCAATTCACGATAAAATAATCTGTAGGCTAAGGTATTTGGCTATTTGTGTTGCGCCACACATGAACTTTATATTACACAGATTTACGGGAAATAAAACAACAATGCTAAAAAAAATTTGAACGCCTGTCTAGTTGGAGTACATAATACATTATCTTTAGAGGCATGCAAGTAGGCGTCACGCTCGCGTGGAAGTTTTGCGGGGTAAACCATTACTCTTTTTGACAGCGACGCTCATTCTAAACTAAAAAAGCAAAGGAAAAAAAAGAACAAAGATGCCCCGTTAAAAAAAGGGCCACTCAGTTCTCCAAATTAAGCATGACCTGTGAAACTAAATTAAAGTGCGCTTCTTTTAATAAGAAATACGCCAAATGAATGGTGCCATATATGCTTGGCCACTTTCTACGTTATGAGATCGAGATCCGGATGCTGTGCCAAGAAAACTATGCTGTTATCCATTGTGTATATATTCGTCACCTCCCGCCAATGCCCATTCACTCATCACCCCAGATTACCAATAAAACAAAAAAATGTCAAAAAGTGCGCCGAAAAAAAATTGATTGGCGGTTTGATTTTTTGGTGTACAAATTTCTGTGCTGCACCTTTTTTTTTTCTTTGCTTCTCACTCTTAATTTGGTGTGCCCAAAAAGTTTTGCCGTTCGTAATATAGCTATGGGAAAATCAATTTCTCCAAATCGGGTTTCCAATTTTAATTTATTCATTTTTTGTAGTTTCGCAAAGAATGAAGCGAAAGGAAAAAATCGAAATTAGGAAATGGCGGACAAGAAAGAGTGAAAGGAGTTTTACGTGTGTTTGTTGATTCTGTATTCACATACACATCGAGAACGCTTGATATGTGCGAAAAATTTTTCAGGTCTAAATAAAACAGTTGTGTGTGTAAAACTTTTTAAAGAGAGACAATACAGATGGAATTGCATTTAATAAAAGTAATTAATAAATTTCATCATTCCCCTTTCTCTCTTTGCAGCTTCATGCCCTCTATATTCCCTTTAACTGGGTAAACTCTTTGCCTTGTCTTACTCTATCAACGATAACCCCAGATTTTATTGCATCCGTCCCAAGCTCACCGAGTCTCCCAAGTTCACACTTTTTTCCCTAAATTCAATCAGCCCAAATCAGAAAATAGAAACATCATTCTGCAATATATACGCCAAACAACAAATTCCATTCTTCGTTGATATACACACCGATTTCCGCTAAAGTAAAGAAGTCAGCTATCAAAAATTTTATTTCGTATTTCCGTAGAGACAGACGTAGATTAAAAACTTTGAAAACAGGTTTTCGCCCTAAATGATAATTATGCAGAAATTCGAGCTGTTGGTGGGCGTAAACAACTTTTGCACAAATAGACAAATAGGCGATGATGGTGTGTCATGATGATAAAATAATAATTTGGGGTGACAAATTAACCGTTGCGCTCATCATAGGTATTGCATACAATACAAATGCAAACAGAATGTAGAATAAATATGTGGGGATGAACAAAAATACGCACTGGCCAATGATTTATTATGTGTGGCTGATAAAAACCTATGACGACGGTGGCGGTGGCGCTGGCTTGGGGAATAAGAAAAAAAAGGAAATCTTGAAAATCAACAGCCCCATCTTTTATGACGTGTTTTCGATTTTTTTATCCCTTTTTGCTAATTTCAATTTAACCTTTTCAATGATCTTTTTTATATATACTGAAAATCTATTGTTACCCATTTTCTCTCACCGAATATACAATTTATAGTTTAAAATTAATAATAAACATTTTTGAACTATGACGACGATACCCGATGAATAATCATACAAACTCTACATACACACACATTGTCGATATATTAAAAAACCAGTTCGGGAAATAATGTCAATTGACAATCTCCGTTTTTCCATTGTTCACATAGTGTAAGAGTTGCACAAGGCAAGGGATGATAATACATAAACTCTTTAGCTTTTTGATGCGCAAGTGTCACCATCTTTGCATTGCAGCATCGTATATTATTATTAATGTACATGTATATATATGTTGATATCAGAGTTCCATATATAATGAATTTCAAAGTGACGCATCAAATTGGCTTTTTGTCATCATCATTATGTCCTTTTGTTGCATCCTTCGATGAAAGAGAAAGAGATTAACTTTCCATCTTTAGGGTTTAACTATTTCTAGGAAACAAAAACATGTTTTCTTTGAAAAATTTCATTTAGCTGTATACGTAAACTAACATCCCACAATGCCACATGGCGTGATATTTCACGGGTCCTAATGCCATAAATAGGCAAAAAAAATTAAAGAAGATCTTATGCATTAATAAATACACAATCTTTTTCACCATAGTTTGCCATTACTGGCATAACCACGTACTCCTCCGGAGTTAACATCAGTCGCCAGAAATGGTGATAAGAAATCCGAATGTAAGCATTTCCAAATACGGCAAAGAATGACTGCCGATATGGTGTGGCGAATTTTTGATTTACGCTGCTATTGAAAAAAAAATTTGTGCTCTTGAAAATCCTTTGTGATTATATGTAGGCTTAAAGTTATCATCACGGTGATTCGTAAAAATCACTTTGGCAAAAGTCACTTTTTGTTAGTGGTGTAGCATGTTAATAAGCATAAATGTATGCACTACAATTGTGGACATATACCCGAGTTTCTTTAATACATTACTCTCGGAAAATCCTCCCTTTTAGTATTGTTCACCACATTATATGTATTTAATTATTCACCATTTTTATGACTAAGAAAACAATAACAATAATAATCACTTTTTTTGGCGCGTAAATCTCAAATAATACCAACAATAATCATAACATGTAATTTAGTAGTACGTAACGTAGGGATTGCTTTACATTAAAATTGATTGATTTAATTAATTTATAAGCTTTGTTGTAAGATATTTAACCTAAAGTGTTAGATGTACGGTTTTGCATTTTGTGAAAAAAGTACAATATTATTATCTAAATTGGGTCATCTATCGATCTTGAACATAGAATAATTTTTAATTTTTTTTTTTTACACGGAATATCTCGAACTCTCCGAGCTTTTGATTTATCGGATAAATATGCAAAATTACCAAACAATACCTGTCATTGTTAAACGATTTCTACGTAATAACGATACAGAGAAAATAAATAAAATAACGATAAAAGCGGCTAAAGGTTTATGCGATCGTTCGATTATCAATAAACAAAATGTAAACGTTCGATTTCCCAAAGTTAATTCGTTCATGTTTTTCGCGCTCTTCTTAATCAATATTGCTTAAGCATGCACTTTGACGAAATTCCTTTTTTCGGAGACGGCGCAATACATGTCGGAGAATCCCACCTCGGCCAGCATCGCGTAGGAATAAATTTGAGGAATGATGTCATTATCGCATGGTTTTATTCTCTTGACATTTTATTCTTTCACGAGGACGCACGGCTTGTCAATCTTACATATGAAAATTAGTAGCGGGTTGATTCTAATTCTTATTATTATCGTTAGAATAAGGAAAACAAAAAAACCATACGGAAAAGGGAAAAGCAAAATTATGAAAACTGTACATGTACATGCGCGGAATTATTTTATTATCATTTCCCCCATTGTCATATACACATCCATATTTAATAAAATACATAGCGTGTGCATTCCATCACAATCGTTAGTACCGAGAACTCTTTTTTTACGTGTCTGCCGCATTGAATCGCATCACATCTTCATTTAAGAGAAAAAAACACATCCGATATTTCTGGGATAATAATAATACATGAATGAGGATACAATTTCTTTTGTTTTGCTTTCTAATTCAAGAGTTTCATTCTGTGTCATATTTGAGAGGAACCCCGCAAAAGGGGTTTGAATAATGGGAAGTTAAGCTGGGACCGTTTACTTTGACTCACAAGTCGAGAGCATGAAGGAGACAATAGTGAGAAAATAAAGAAGAGTGATACCAAGCCACGCTACGTTCCCTCCTGCATACATCCTATTTAGACGATGCATATCTCATTCCAACAAACAATACTTATGTATGCTAATCGCTAAATGAATTAATTAACTCGGAAATAATGTTAAAAAAAAATCGTCTTAGTATTATTTTACCACTTTTCCTTCATTTGCTTTGTCACCTTTTTTAAGACCCTTTCAGAAGAGAAAGGAAGGTAAAATCAGTTAAATCGCCAGTTACTTTAAGCTCCATATATTGATAGTGAATACTGCATGCCGAATGTGTTTTTGCATTTGAAAACCCCGACAATCATAGCCGAAATTCATTCTACTTGAGAGTGGCACGTGCATAATATGATAATGATTGCGATTATAATGGAAAGTGATACACATTATCCGTCCACTTCTCATTATAAACGACGCGACGTGACGTTTTTCGTCAAATTATTGATTTAATGGCGGTGGCTTATCGATTATATGCGAGAACAAAAAAATTGAGTGCAATTATTGATTATATCACAATCAAAATGTGCTTCATTTCAACAGACCCTTTTTTTCGTTAAATAATGATAAGATTACACAACACAAAAAGACTATAGAATTTCTTTTTTCGATAATTCAGTAAAAACCACTTGCTATCTAACCCTTTTTTATATTTGGGAAATTTTATCATTTGAGTGATTAGGTCATCTTACTTTTCGCGTGGATAAAAACTCAAAAATTACGTACCAAGAAGAGAAGAGACTCGGTCATTCGATCGGGGATAATGTCAACTGTGGAACGGAGAGAACGAAAATCCTTATGGTGTGACTCAATGAAGGCGGTTTCGTGCTAAAAGCGGGAAATGTTACGACGCAAAATTTATGTTGCTGCAAATTTCATATTCGGATGCAATGGCGAACAGAATCTTTAAAAAGTAGGGATAAATATGATCAATGCGTCTCAGTGTTAAAGAAAACAACACGCATAAGGTTACCATCAGAATAAGGGTGTGTTAGGTTAGTGTTGGTTCGTGTGAAAGTATCAATTGAAGATTTAATATAGAATAAAATATTTAAAAAGAGGTGAAGGGATTCTCTTGTATCAATGTATAATAACATGTGTGAACCATTTATTTGTTAATTAATGAATAAACAAAAAATAAAAATGTAGAGATACGGTAAAAATAAAAGATGTGAACTTTGGAAAGAGTAATAAAAAACGTGAAAAATAAAGTATTATAGGATCCCTTCGAGATATGTGCAGTGGGATCTGAGGTTAAATGTTTGATAACGCAGTATCAGCATAACATACCTCTTTGGTGGATGATATAATGTTTTGAATTCACGGCAGTAAAAGGGTTCCCATTATTCTCAAGATCCCCAGGATAAATGTCACACCACATACACACATACTCGCGTACATACCAGCAAAGAACAAGGAATTTTGTAAATACATATATACACAGGATTCTTGATTTTAATCGTGAATATTATTATTATTATTATTATTTGTTAATATTATTATTTTTTGCATATTTTATGCTTAATAGTATGAATGTGCGTACTTACGGCAAGACAGAGAATAAGCTGCAAACAAACACCACTATGATATTCTTCAAATGCAATAAAGATGAGAAAATAAGTTAAGTTGGTAAGACAGGTACAGATTGTGGGTGAGAGAAAAGTTAGTAAGAATGAACAAAAATATCCCCTTTGTTCTCCCTGAATATAAGAACCGGTAAAAGACCTGATTTATGGTTTATTGATTCGACCAGAAGACCGAGACTTGAAGCGGCAAGATTCGAGATTCAGATCAAGAAATTAGCAATAATGGTAACTTAATAAAAAAAATATTTTTACATAACAAAACTGCATTAATAAGAATAACCAAAAAAAAAGAATCGTGAATCTTTGGTTAGACGCGACATTCCGTGAAAGCTTAATTCCGTACTAAAAAAAAAAAAAACATTATTATCAAAAATTTATTAATAAATTTTTTTGTTGACCATTCATGGTAATTTCCTGTTTAACATAGTTTCCTTTTTTGGTGAAAAAAAAAACTTGTTAAAAAAAGAATAATATAGTAAGAAAGAATTTGTTTCGTTTATACTTCGGGCGATGCTGTCACAATAGTATTATACGACGTGGTGATTATTGATTGTCTCTAAGTTAATGTAAATCATGGTTTTTTAATCATTGCAATCATCAAAATTATATGGGGAACAATAACAATATCTCATTATTATATATAGTAATAGTACAATGGATTTTTGTTTCTTTTTGCTCTCTTGAATGATAATCACAATTACACAACGCATTTTTTGTGTGATGTGAATGAAGACTTTTATTGTAATATATATATATTTCTTTTATATCCCCTTTTTTTGTATACGTATTTATACTATATTTTTATATTATATGTATATATATATATATATATATATATATATATACATATATATAGTATATTATTGTAAAAAATATATTTTTTTTCTTTTACTCTCATCTCTAAAATTTAAAGCAAAAAAATATCAATCGAGAATCAAAATCCATTGTATTTTTTTATTGGAGTCGTTTACAGTTTGAAACATGAAAGAGAAAGAGAAAAATATATTATGTAAAGTAACATACAATAATAAATATACGTCTTTTTTATATCTGTACTACAAGACAAAAAAAATAAATTCACAAAATACATATATATAAGTCTGTCCTTCGACTTCGTTTTCCGTAGAAACAGTTCTCTTCACATATTACTTTTAATATTATATAAGAGACACGAAAATTCTTTGATTCATAATAATTATTATCAACAACAAACAACAACAACAACAATAACAACGACCGTCTGTCTTCATCATCATAACGTATACAGCATAACGGAAAAGAAAGCAGTAGTGTTCATAACAAAACAGCTATAAATACTTATCAAGCAAATCGTCCATTTCTTAATTTTTCAAAGATTTCAAAGTTTAAAATTATTAAGGTGAATTTCCGATTTATTATAAATCTATCACACACACAATTCATACCATATATAATAATAATAATAATAAACTTTGGTCAGATCTTGGTTATTATCCAAAAAAATATTTGTTTTTTTTTAATAAGCAATAAGCATAATAGGATAACTTGAAGGGTTCACTCATCACTCCTCCTCTTCTTCTTCTTCTTCTATATAATAGCTCGCGATCTCAATAATCACACAATAACCGAAGATACAAACACAATTAGAAGAAGTTAACTCGACCAAAAGTTAACTCTCAACACTTTTTTTATTTAATCTCAAACATAAACTCGTATACCTGAGTTTCCCGCTCAATTTCAATTTAATTATCTTTATTTTTATATTCGACAATAACAATAATAATAATAAAAATAAAAATTCATATACCAATTTCCCCCAGTTTATTTTGTACGCCAACAACAAACACAACGTAAACAAATTAACATCACATACTCACACTTACTTATAGTTAACAACAGCAATAAGCACACTATAACCCCTTTCCTGGGTCGGAAACGTCGATTCCGCCAATTATTATCGTCATCGTCATCATCATTCATTCATTCATTATCACCTCACCTTATATTACCTTCTATTACCTAGTGCGTATTTAATATACTATATATATATATCTATATATATTATTATTTAAATATATATATATATAATATACACCATATAACACACATATATATATATATATATATGTTTATTAATATATATTAATATATGAAAATAAAATCCATTATAGAATAACAATAATCGATTTTTTTCACACACATACATTTCATATTTATATTACACTATTATTATACAAAATAAAAATATATATAAATACAAGCAGCTTGACTTCTTCCCCAAACCGCAATTTTTTTTTTACATTTTTACTCTCGTCCTGATGACAAAAAATCGATCCTACAACAACATCGACAATAACAATAACAACTATAACAAACGAGTGCTTGTCGATACAACACTTCTGACAAGTAACAACAACAACAACAACAATAATACAACACCAAATAATATTAATTATTATTACAACAGCAATAACAATAACAACAACAACAACGACGAGCCTTTACAGCTCTCGCCGTCATATTATAATAGCGATATAATCAACAATAGTCAATATAATCAAATATATAATCCATCGCAGCAACAACAACAACAACTAAACTATTCAGCGCAGTATCAACCACATCAATTTTTTGATCCATTATTATTACAGCAGCAACAGCAGCAGCAGCAGCAGCAGCATCATCAACAGCAACAACAATTGTTACCATCATTACTACCATCAATACATCATCATTTATTAAACGAACCCCCCACCACACCATTACCGTCATACAACAATCATAACTCGGCAGCGATGATTGAAACACAACAACATTCACCTCAGCCTCTTTCCATGTCATCACCACCACACCAGCAACAACTCTCCTCAAGAGTGACAAAACGTCGACGCAATCGTGAAACTCCACCTCGACCGCTAAACTCCTTCATGATCTATCGACGAGAATATCAGAAACGGATCAAGGAAGAGAATCCCAATATTCTATTATCTGAACTATCGAGGATCTCAAAATCCGCTGCAGATCGATGGGCGAATGAATCGCAACAAGTAAAACAGCTATACGCGGAGAAAGCAAAAGCCGAGAAAGAAGCGCACATGAAATTATACCCAAATTACGTGTATTGTCCACGAAGACCCTCGCGAACTAAACCACGAAAGAAATCAGCGTCCATTTCGGGTTCCGAGAGTTCTTCCGAAAAAATGTCGTTAAATTTCTTGTTGAACGACGAAGCGGCAGCGAATGCCTTGAATTCCTTTCGTCAATACAATCATCCATCATGTTAATATTAGTTAGCGATCACACGTCACCACCAGCATCATCATCACCATCATTATCATCATCATTATTATCAGCGTATTGTTTAATAATCTTTATTAATAATTTTTTTTATGTAGCGAGAGTTTTGACAACCCTCGCATTTGTTTTCAATCTATCATTGTCAATATTTCCATTCTCTCTCCTAAATAATTATTAATAGTTAGGCGAGAACGGACTTGCATAGTTTTTTTAATTATTAGCATTTTTTCCCCTCAATTTCACACTTTGTATATTCTCACACCCATCACATATCAAATAATACTGCAATCACATCAAAAATAGTAATCATTAACAATTTATTAATTCATGGAAACATGTATATTTTTTTTTTATTTACATTACGATATGTTAACAAGAAGTACTTTGAAATTAAGCTTCCCTATTATTTCTACTCTTCTTTCTTCTTTTTGTAAATACTTTTTTGCTTTTTCTTTTGTTAATTTTATTTTGATTTTTTCTTTTCTTCTTTCTGCGCGTAAAAGTAAATTTAATACGGGCAAGCTTAATAATAGGTCTCTCCGTAAGCGGTAGCAAATTAATTATACCCAGTAAATAAATAACAATAGCGTTACAGCAATAAAAAAAAACAACATAATAACACACAAGCCACAAATAAAAAACAATTTGAACTTGTGCGTGTACATTTTTTAAGCAAATCGAATCAATCGAATTTTTTTTTCGCGTGGTCAAAGTTTCCGAATTCCATGAATTAAACAATTGTCTCTCAGAGTGCATTGTCTAAACTTTATCCATAATGATACCACAAGAATAACAAGAATAATATATTTATCATGAGGCTTTATTTATTAAAAAGACTAAACCCTTATGATTCAATTCCCACGAGGTACATTCCTTTATCGGCAGATTCCGTTTTACCATTATTCATTATGTGCTGCTCCACATGCTACGTGTGTGCTCTGTGTGTGTGTGTGAATCGTCTTACCATTGATGATACCTTTTAACTTGATCATTCATTAATTCATTCATTTCATTTCATTTATCTCATTTTATGTTCATGACACAACAATAAGAGAATGCTAACACACTTTCTTTTCAAATCCGGTAATTAACATTATATTTATCATCATTTTCACTCATTCTTGTCAAAAATGACTTCATTAACGTGTACGTGTGAATCGTCTTGCTACATTTGTCTATCTTCTACGTTTGTCCGTACAGAAAAAAATTAAAAATAAAAATAAAAATAAATTGCTTTTTTTTTTTTTAAGGATGATTCATCATCCGGGATCCCCAATAACCCACACCATCCATCCCCATTGTTTATGGCCAGTTGGAATTATTTCATTAAACGTGAGTGTACGATAAATAGTAATAATTGATGATAAATCATCCGTCATCGTTAACGTTATAGAGTGACGGTTTTGAGAATTGCGTAATCTAAATCCACATAATGACAAAAAGAAAAAATTGGGGGATTGTCAAAAATAGAAAATTACCCCGTCCCCTTTGTGTAAAGGGGCTTGCTCATCAAATGATTTTTTGACTATGATGATAACCGTTTTCTTTTTGTCAGGAACCTAAACAAGAAATTCTGATTTCCCCCCAACAATCAATCATGCCACATTCCATTCTTATAGAAATTAACCCCCGGTCCGAAATGATATCATTCACCGATAATAATGATATTCATTCATCATTGTTGTTATTGTTGTTGTCGTGTAGTTCCGGGCATGTGTAAATTAAATGCCAACCAAACCCCCCGGTCGTTTGTACGTCATATCTATAATTACCGTAACGCGCAATTACATTATCGCATAAACAATGTCTTTTTTCATTCATTATCGGTTGTGATGATTTATGATAATCGAATATACAGATTTTTGATTTGATTGATATACAAAAGCAGAGAACAATGTTAAAGAGATGTCATCATCGATTAACCTCAATTAATTAGTAGGACGCTTTGTCCATCTAAAAAATATTATTATGGTGTGTGTGTTGTGTGTTAAATTTTTTTTTTTTTTTAATTAGTTCTTAGATTAATTGACCCTACACTACCAGGCATATAATATAAACATTGTCTCTCGATTTCCAAATATCGATTGGTGTTCACCTTTGAGTCATGACAAGAGAACAATACTAAGCCAAAATACCTAGTTTCACAATTACCTCTATTTATGATTATCTAACCACAACAAAACCATGCACAATTTATGTTTTCATTTGACAGCCTCAACTCTATTTCTGAAAAAAGACAATTGATTGCAACCGTTGACATGAATGAATAATAATAATGATGATGATGATAAACAAAGCAAGCAGCAAAACTTTTTTTGGTTAAGTGTGACTATTATGATAGCTCCTTAATAAAAAAAAAAAATGACGTATGCTTTCAAATTTTTTTTTTATTAGAGTATTTGGCAGAGAATTGAATTCATCTAATTATTATTAGTATACACACATAACGGTCCGGAAGAGATAATGCCTACAGGATTAAGGTGCGTTATTTACTCGTGGTGATAATGCTTACAGGATTAAAGGTGCGTTATTTACTCGTGGTGATTGTGTGCGTGATGTAATGCAATGTAATGAAGTGAAAATTTTCATCCAAGAATTCATCTCTTTTGTTTTATCATTTGAGAGAGCGAGCAAAAAATCCTCGAAAGATTTTGATAATTTAAAGTATACGTGTATGCTAATGAATAATGGAAGAGGTGAAAAATGCATGAATGGAAATGCATGAATGCGTGAGAATCTATGCGTGTGAATGACATTTAGATAGCACCTGCTTTTTTTACCGCCATCATCATTCGAATTCACATGCAGAAGCCGAACAAAGCTCGCGACGACGATCATCACGTTGGGATATTGTTTGTTGAATTTTATCCTTTTCGTTTTGGTAAACAAGGAATTTTCCTGTTTTTGAGTTTTTGATGCATGGTTTTTTTTTAGGACGTACTTTAACGTTAAAATTATAATGGGCGACTCCACACACCTTTTATTGCAAAGTTGAAAAGGTTAATGATTCTCATTTCCATACTATCCTTTTTTCTAGATTGGACGATACGAAGCTGAATAATGTATATATAGTATCATGAAAAGAACGATCGACGGCATGGTTAACACGATGACCGATGATCCTTATTTACCCATTTATTTATGTGCTTACATATTTGTTTATTTATTGTATTTTTTATTTATGTATTGGGGATTTTTGAACAATGGCTTTTCGTTATCATGAGATCCGTTCCAATAATGATCGCCACGTTTTTCATGGGTGAAATTTAGGTATTCGGATCGGGTACCATCTGCGTACATGTATTTTTTGCGATAATAAAAACGGCGGTCATTGTGGAAGATCCTTGCAGAAATAGCATGAAAAGGATTCATTTAGGAAAGGATCAAAGAACGCATTGTCGTTTGTCTGATCGAGTTTCTTATGTTTCATGTCTAAAATTTTTTTTTTTCACGAACGTTTTTGATTCTCTCCTCTCTATTTGACTTCCTATTTCTCGCATTTTCATGCGTGAATGTTCTTTTTTATCGTGATTGTTTCGTTCAACACGTTTCTCATCATCGAAAAAAAAAGCGCGTTTCATTTAATCATTACATGTACATGATGATGCATGGAAAAATTGATAAAGCTTGTAAGACGTTTTTCACGCAATATTGCATTATAAGGAAACACATTCAACTCCTTCCCTTGGAAAAATCGATAGCATGAGATTAATGAATGAGAAACAGAGACAAACAAAGAATTTTGAGTTCACTGATACTGCTCATGCACAATTATTCACTTTTTGCGATTTTTTCTTTGACAGAAATTCATGGACTCACGTTCAACATTTAAACTATTAAACAATGAATTGCATACTTATCAGTATACAGTAAGCGTCCAAAGGAGTTACACAATTATAGATTGAAAAACGTAATACTCAATTGTCACAATAGTCACTTTACTCAGAATAGTAAGATTGAAAAGTAAATCATGTAAAAACCGTCAATTCACAAACCAATTTTTTTTTACACTCGAATAATCAATGTTTCCATCCATAGTCACCGGCAAATTTCCGAGCACGAAAAGTTCTCTGTTCACGCAACGATTCGGGTTCCGTGACATTTCCGAAAAGGGGAATCCATGTGTTTGAAAATATCTAATGGACGTTCAAATGCTATTGGAGTATGTTATACTACTGTATTTAATAAAAAAAATGTAGTTAAACAGTAAAAAAAACTAAATGAATATGGTTCCTAGATATGTTTACTTGGAAAAAATTGAATTATCTGGCGCATGGAAGAAATTATTCCGAATGGCAGTATCTTTCCTTCACAAAAAATTGGTGTACGCCATGCTGCATGACATCACCGATGATATAGCAACATGGCGATTAAGTTTGTGATCTTTAAAAATATTATTAGTTAGTATGAATTTTTACAAAAAACAAAATATTTAATCTCTTGCTTAAAAACTTTCAATTAAAAAGACATTTTTTTAATCAAATTATGCATATTTTATTATTGTATCCCTATATAGAAAACTTTCCAAAAAGATACCTGGAGTAGTGTATCTATCGTTACATTGGAATTCAATGCGCTTGATGAAATCTTATTTTGGGCCAAGACTATATATCGCACATTTGTTCAGAGATCGAACCCGATCTGCCATCAGCTCAAGTCGACAATCACATGTAAATTTATTCCAAAAAAAGGGAAATTATTGTGGCGAAAACTTTTCTCATCAGAAAACAAAAAGATCAGCGAAGAGCATCCAAGTCATTTCTATTAAAGTGGTGCAAGACGGCCCGAATGGATAACATTTTAAAATTAAAGTCTATTGTCACAAATAACACGACATTTGAAGGAGTGGGAACTTAATTCGAATTATCTGTACGATACAGGTTCTTTAACCTCATACCAATCAGACACAAGTGTTACAGGTATAGTCAAAGACTATCTTTCGGAATAGAAGGCTTTTCTTTAGAAGGTCATGTTCATTGATCGTGAACAATTTTGCTACACATATGTGTTTGATTTGTGTGTAAGAAATTGATAATTCTAAACCTGAAAATGACCACAACTTTTAACTCCTTTTACTATTTTGGTCCTTTATGACAAAGATTAAGTTTCTCTAGAGAATATACTTCAAAGGCGGGACAATAAAATAATTCAGTTCAGGATAACAAGAAATCCTTTGTTCATTTATGTTATTTGATACTCTCTCTGTACAAGAACAATCATTGTAATAAAGAGATCTTAATGGGTCTTACGAATACAAATTACTGTAATGAAAAAGATGGGAGGGTTAATAATTGGTCTTTGTTGCTTGTTTCTGATTTTAATTTATTGTAAGAAATATTTTTGTACACAAGCACTCTGTGATATATATATATTGTAGCAAGGGAAAGTGACATTCGCGTAAACTGGGAACAACTTTAGAAAGAGTTACTGTTATGTTAATGGGAACCATGTTTTTGTTTCTCATTATACGATATTATCACCTTTTTTTGTCTTCTTGTTCGTAAAACAATAATTGTTAACAATCTCCCAAAGAAATTATGTAAAGTTTAAATTCGTTGTTGTTGTGATGGTGTTAGCGGTGGTGTTTGCCATTCTTTGTTCATTTCTTTGGTTAACCTCCAAAATTTTCAAATTTTTTTTTTTTTGGTGTATTCTGTGTGTGTATCACCTTGAAATTTCCGTATTTATTTTATTTTTGAAAGTTTGTCAGCTCGTTATCTCTTCTTCTCCTAAGGAGTACATAGATCAGTTGTCCTTTTTCATTCATTTTTTTAATAGATAAATGTACGAGTATTACAATTATTTCTTTGTCTACTTGAAAGAAAGCTTGGAAAAGATAATGATTATGAAAAACAATAAGCCAATAAAAACTGTAAATCCTAAAGACACAATCATTGTTATCGTGAATGGTTTGTTCTCATTCTCTTTCTTCTCATTTTATTTCTCTATCTTTGTCTTTGGATTAATTCATAATTATTGTTTGAGCGCATACATAATTAATTAAAACTCAATCCAAACAAAGAAAAAAACGTGGTTTGTCACGCAGTTAGAAAAATAATGTCGTACACGATCATAGTAATGTAGCACGCACGCTGCAGGTCACTGTGAAATTCGATTGAGGTCCCAAGTCTGTTTGGGCGTCTTGGTGATACCAAACGCATTGTTTCCATTGTTTGTGAGGATAGATTGGCTCGTTCTTTTTTTGTTCTTGAGTAGCACGAATGTGGGTTTTTCCCTTGTTTAGATTACTGCGCGTTTTCATTGGCCGGATTATCCTTTATTGTTTACGCGTTCCTCTCTTATCAAAAAAATTTATTATTCAATATTTTGGGACTATTGAAAATTCTAAAAGCACACATTATTTTCCCCCGTTAATCCCGAACATGTTTGGCTGAACTTTTTGTCTGTTTAACAAGAGATCCAGTTTTTAATGGAATTTCTGGTTAATCAAAGATTTTCGGTTTCGTAATATTTATCCCGATTTAGGATTAGCGAGCGTTTGATTTCAGATTTCTAGAATGAAGATGTGATATTCTTGAATTTATCAACCGTAAATGAATAAGCATCGACAGAGAATTTGGTGAATTCTATTATAAATCGTCTCATTGTAGAACCTCAACAAAGGGTTGTAATTCTTGAGCTTAGAAATACAATAGATCATTTTAGGAAGACAACAAGATTTGTACCAACGAGTTTTTGTAGCGATAGTAACAGCGGTATTACTTAAACAAATCCTTTTTCTGACATTTTCTTCTTGGGCTGTATTCCTTTTTCGATGATTTCTATGGAAACTTTGTTCCGTTTAGTGATTGTCGTCGATTACAGTATTACGCGTAAACAAGCGGTAAACAAGACTTATACAACCGATGAATCATTATTCTCGCATCGAATGATCTTTTTTTTTTTTTTACTTAGGCACAGTGTGTGTATTCATCTATTTTCTGAAATCACCAATTAAATCATGAAGCCACGCAAACATTAACTTAAAATAGATGCGATATAACTTTATTTTTGAACTATGAGCTTGAAATAGATACAGATAAATAGATGTATGTATAACTAACTTGTTTCTGAACTCAATGATGACTGGTTTTTTCTACGCAGAATGTGTCTAAGCATGTTAAAATAATATTATTAAGCTCTTTTCTCTTAATATTCTGAGAATATATTCTGAGAATGCATGAATCGAAGTCATATTTCTATTTAATAAATCCAAATATAAATACTGTATTAATTATAAATCACAATCACAAATCACAAGATGATCTAATTGCCGCAATTAAAAAAGTGATGCCGGCTTTCCCCAAACTTTGATGACCCTAAATTTAGTATTGTCTGATTTTTTTTTGATCTTATTTTATGATCAGATAACCGAAATTCATATACTTAAAATCTATTACAATTGTTCTATTTTTCCGTGTAAAATTATTATTTCCATATACAGTTGACTCTATCATAAAAATCATGTGATAGATGATCATTTCTACTTTTGTTCTCATTTTAATTAAAAAATTTACCAAACACGGATTATGATTCTTTAATTTGCCGTTTATTTGTCTAAAAACGACTGCATTAATACATATTCAATGTTAAAGAATGTATTTGACTAGAAACATTAACAAGAGAATATCCTAACATTAAAATTGAGCATAATCTTTACATTATAGTTACGATTTGATTGAATAAATGTTCGTATAATTGAATATCACGTGAGAATATATTTTGTTTAGTAATTTCTCGATTGGTATTATTTTCAAACTAAGAATAAATATTTATCTTATAAAGTATCATCCAACCCCCCCCCCCCCCCCCGATTTATAAACAATATGCAGCATTTTTGACGATTCGCGAAAAATGGAAATAAGTGGGGTATGTTTATTATTTATTAAAATCTCTGATTTTTAATAAAAATTGCCGGTTGTGCTGATGAGGGTGGTATCTACAAGTGTTTATTTGTTTTTTGTTGTATTCATGATTCTGTTAATAATAGCAATTCATTTACTGTATCAGAGCTTAAAAAATAATCTTACGAGAATAGCTTCTGTTCACATTTCTTAATATATATCATCCCAATCGAAACGCCAACTACAATAGCATGGAAAAGAAAACATAATCTGAGTTTGGAAAAAAGTGTAAACTGTATGTGGGTAATCAAACAATCCCTTACCACGTTTTTATTTCCTATTTTACATTAATCATCATCGTTAACATTAATAATAAAATAAAAAAGACAATTCATCCAAATACTCATTTACTTATTCTTTCTTGTACACACAAGCAGATTCAGAAATATCTCTTCCCCACGTTATTTTTTTCCGCTCGGATAAAAAACAATAACAACCTTGAGGGTTCTCTCAAAAATTCATAAACAAAAAAAGGAATAATGGCTGAAACCATTAATTGTTCGTTTTCACGAATTTTCCTTTGCGCCAAGATAAGATCGACGGAAAAAAGTTTTTACATTGCATATAACAAAATCTACTTGGCATCGGTGCCAATTGCTGATCGTCTCTACGTATATCGAGAGTTGACTGCATAATTATGCATGCACTCGAAAGCACTCGCTATCTTTCTATCATAATAAAACTTTGAAGTATGCCTGAAGACAAGCATTTAGTAATCTGGCACGAAATAAGATCATAATAAAAGAGTAAATAAAATAAAGTTACAAGTGAAAAAGTTGATTCTTAGTATAATAGAAAGAAACAGTGTAAATTCTGATCCTCAGATTTGATTCAATCAGAGATAAAATGCATGCTGTGAAACTCAAAAAGAATGCTTATAGGGATCAATTTTATTGTAATATATGGATCTTTCTCATATATTAAAGTCTTAATAAATATTTTTTTATAAAAATAAAGTAGCTTATATATTTTCTGAGAAAGTTCTAATTGCATATAAAGTGTAAAAATTTTCGCTTATTAAAACATAATAAAAATTATATGCAATTAGAACTTTCTCAGAAAAATATATATTAAACTATAAATTATTAATTTATTTTTAGTTTCATATTTTACTAATAAAATTAATTATTATTACATTTCTTTTGAATATTATTATAATGTTAAAAAATGATAAATAACTTTTTCAGTTTTAAAATTATGTAATAATATATTAATAAATATATTAGATTTTTTATTAATAATTTATAATAATTATTTAAGTAATATATCAAAATATCAAATTTATTAATAAATATAATAAAAATTTCATATTAAAATTTATAAATTTAATATTAAATATTTTTATTTTTATATAAAATAAAATTCATAATTATAATTTAATATAGTGACAACCAAAAGTAATAACTTAAGGGCTAAATTTATTAATAAAATATAATAAAAATTAAAATTTTTTCTATTTATAATTTTTATTAAGAAAT